CACTCGCAGTGCACCCGCGACGCACTCGCGACGCACTTGCGACGCACTCGCCCCGCACTCGGGGCGCACTCGGCATGCACTCGCACCGCACTCGTTCTGCCCTCGGGCCGCACTCGCACCGCACTCGCAACGCACTCGATGCCGCACTCGAATTGCACTCGAGTTGCACTCGCGCTGCACTCGCACCGCACTCGTTTCATTTTTATAGGGGGCTCCCTGACCCCCTGCACCGCTGCGATCGGAGACACTCCCCAGGTGACGTGCGAAGGCCCTGTGGTGCCTCTCTACACACTAGTCAGAGACAGTAGACGGCTCGGGCCCCTGCGAGGTAGGCCGCCGACGAGCACGAGTGTCAGTCGGGTGCCTACCCGTCAGGCGCGCACACCTCCCATCCCCACCTCTCCGCCGACCACCTCGGCGCGCCGCCGTGTCAGCGGGTATCATTGGCGCAGCGCAGGGGAGTGGCGGCGCGGTCGCGAGTGACTCAGCTCGCTCCGCGACCGCGGGTCGCTCTGCTTGGCGTGGCGAGGCGTGGCGAGGCGTGGCGGGGCGTGGCGGGCAGGGCCACTCAGGGGGGGCTGCGGCTACTTCCTTTCTTATTAAAATGATTGGTGGATTGGCGAAGGTGGTGTGGTTCCTCGTGGCGCGTGGCTTTGCCGGGCGGTGCACGCCGCGGCCGCGCGCACACACGGCGGGACCTCGCGCAGGCCGGATGTTTTGACTGCGATTAGCGCACGGGCACCTCACTAGCCCAGTGACGCCGGTGTGGCCGGGCCGCCGCGACCTCCTCATCGATCTTCCTTGTTCCCCGCGGCCACGCCCACGGGCAATCCATCCTCGCGGTCCAGAGCCTTCCACAGCCGTCCTTCCGCCTCGCCCATGCCCTAGCCGCCTTGTCGAGGAGCACGCAACCCTTGCAAAAAAAAAATAAAAAAATATCCCATAAAAAACAAAATGCTCTAATCAGATGTCGGGGTGTCCAATCAAACCTTAACGACGTTCATCGCACTCCAAAAAATCGCCCTTTCAGGCCGAGTCCAGTGCAAACATAAAACTTGGCTCGGGTCGACTTTTCGACAGTGTAGTGGTCCTGTGCGTCCTTGGGACATCTGTGCCCACTTCCTGTCCGGCAGCGTGCCTCACCTGGACGAAGCCCCGCCCGCGGTACACTTACTTAGAGCGCACTGCCCCGCCCCGCCCCGCCCCGCCATGGAGTCAGCGCCCTCAGCAGAGGCCCTGCTCGGCCATCTGTATTGTCTCCCTGATGAAGGCGCTCGGGTCGCTCGGGTGCCGGCCGGCGGTGCCTTTGCCATTTCCGCCTCCACACGCCTGGGCAACGTCCTCCTAGCGGCAGCGGCACCCGTCACCGAGTTATACCACATCATCAACGCCGAAGGCTGCGCCCTGTTTGGTTCCAAGAAGTATAACGACTCTTGTTTCTGTAGTTCGGAAGTTGAATACGCACGGGAAGAAATAATAAAACTGCGACTCGTCGCCGAGCCCTCTCGGTTGTGTAGGCGGGGCGGCCAGGGCCGCGGGTCAAGAAGGAACGCTAATCTCGAAGTCATGTCGCGGAAGCGGCCCGGGGGGGTCAATGTTCTGACCGCGCGCCGGGCAGCGAGCGGCCCTTTCAGACACGCTACGATACAGTAGTAGTCTCCGTCCTCTAGTACCTCACCCTGTCGCGCCTCATCTACCACCCCCGGCAGGTACGCCAGCGGCTGCGCCCCGCCCCGCCCCCGCCACATTTACCAGGTCAAGGCCGCGGCTCCACCCGAACGGCTCCGCGCTGGCCCGCGACGACCTTTCTTCCCGTAACTTTCTTCACCTCCCAGACGCTTCCTCCGCGCGCCAATCTAATGTGGGCCAGACGGCCGACCGGACGACGACCGGATGGTGTCCAAGGCACCTCACCTGCTCGTCAGCGTCTCCGAGTCTCGTCTCCCTCCCGCGCGTTCGCTGGCACGCTCCGGCCGATAGTAGTGCAAGTTCCCGTGAGGTAACACCTGGGCAGGGAGTCCGAGTCCCGCCCGGGCCCGGGCCGCCATAGTCGGCTGTAATAATGCCCCCGATTAGCACGTTAGCGAGGACGATTAGCCATGCCAGACCATGCCCAGACCGTCGAGAAGCTCTCGCCGGCCATGATCAGGAGGGGGCAATCATTATGATTTGGAAGCGAGATAGGCTGGACACACACACACGCACACACACGCATGCACGCACACACACGCACACACACTCACCAACACACCTACACACACACACACACACTCGGGCCGGGCGGACAATTGGAGGCCAACCTGCCTCGTGCATGTGATCCTGTCGCTGTCACGATGCTGCCGATAAATTCAGAAGGCATACTCCTCCTCCTGCGTCCTGCTCCTAGGTCGGCAGCTCGACTTGTACTGCCGTGCCTCGTACCCCCCCCCCCTCCCTTCCCCCCTCTCTCTCTTTCTGTTTTCCTCCCAAGTTCCTCCGGAAGAACGCTGGTCAGGTGCACCAAGTGCGTTCAGGTCTCCCCTTGATGCGAGAATATTCCGTAGACTGGAAAGTGGATCAATGAAATTGGGCATGAGTGAATAGGTCTGAAGGAAGTAGAAAAGGGTAGTGTCATGGGCAGCGTTTATTTTCAGCCGCGGCTTGTCCCCGTCTACGCACGGCTTGCTGTCGAACAGATGAGTGACAACACGTACACGGTGGGCGTTGCCCGCCCGCCCGCCTGGTCCGCCGCCAGGCCCATGGCTTTGCCCCTGACCCTCACAACGAGTCTTTCCGGACGCCCCCCTCCCCCTCTCCGCCGGGCCACCTCGCAGCGGACGGCGAGTGCTCGCATTTCAATGAATGACAGCGCGGTGTCACAAAAAATGACAACGGGAATAGTTTGGCCCGATAAAATACAGGCGAATTTCACAAGGATGCTCACAGGTGTTTCGTGGGCTGCACCTGGCGCCTCTTCTGCCCTCTAGGCCCCATTTGTTCTCCAGTGCCGTGGGGTTGCCTAGGCGACAGCTGGGCAACCCGTCCAACGTGGGCGAGCGAAGGTGCAGCACGTGCGCTGGGTGTATTCGTGGAAAGTGTTGCGTACTTTAACTAGCAACACGACTGCACACGCTGATTAAATATCAAGAAACTGCAACCGACGATCCGGTTAACGAACGATATTTTGCTCCGTTTTCTTTCCCCTTTTCCGTCGTCATTTATTTGCCACGTGTAGACATGAGTTGTATCTTTCCCCTTAACTTTTAAACTATTTTGAATTGGACATTGGAGAAAATTTTCAATGCAGCGGCAAGATGCCAAGTAAAAAAGTAAAGAATGGATTGTGTGTTTCCCCCTTCAGTTTTACCGCCTCAAGAAGTGTTAAAGATTTTGATCAGATTCATTTTAAGGAAGAAAATCAGTTCAAACAATGGAGGTTTACTGTAGTTGGTTCATTTTATTTTCAAATAAATAGGGAAATAAATAATTTGTCTCGTTATTTACACGATGACTCACGATGAGATCTCCGTCATTTTTCTGTTCTGGGGTGGTTCAATAAATAAATGATTTTTGATGACAGGTTGGTGAGGCAGTCTTGTGGAGCACTCTAGTAGGCGTAGGTGATGGGGCCGCTGGAGTAGGTCATGTGGGAGACCACGGGGGCAGCGGAGTAGGCAACGCCGAGGAGACCAGCGTGGGCGACGGGGGCAGCGGCGTAGGCGGGGGCGGCGTAGGCCTTAGCGATGGGGGCGGCGTACGCAGCGGGGGCGGCGTAGGAGTGGGCAGCGTAGGCAGCGGGGGCGGCGTACGAGGCGTAGGCGGGGGCGGCGGCGGCGGCGTAGGCGGCGACGGGGGCGTGGGCGAGGATCTGGGCGTCGTTGCTCACACGGACGTCAGAGCGGGACACGCTGGAGAAGGGGGTCTGGATGGTCTTCTGCTCGTAGGAGGTCTGGCCCTGGTTGCCGAAGGTCCTCAGGGTGTTGGAGGACTGGGAGGTGAGGGTGGGGGTGCCGACGGCCACGGGGGCAGCGGCGTAGCCGTAGGACACGGGGGCGGCGGCGTAGCCGACGGGGGCGCCGATCAGACCGGCGTTGGCCACGGCCAGGGCGGCGGCGAGGACGACGAGCTGTAACGATAGAGGCACACGATATTGTCAGGCCGTTTGGAGCGATTAAAAAGCAAGTGGAATACGCGCTCCTCGCGGTGCACAATCCGAGGGCTTACCTTGAATGCCATGGTGCTTGGAGGTGGTTGGGAGTAGTCACTGGGGCGACTGATGCTGCTCGGAGGTCCGCGGCCGCTTTTATACTCCCGATACTCTGCGCTGGGCCCGGCGGGGAAGGGGTGACTGGCCACTCCCTGGAAGTAC